TTTTATACAGGGTGTCATCTGACTTGGACCACCCCCATCTTTGAATTTTTAAATACGGACCTGTATTTTTTGTTGTAGTTTTTGGATCGGAGACGTTCACTTCATACTGGGAAATTAAATTCAATTGTATATTTCGGGATGTTTCGGTAATATTCGATTATAATTGTGTGAATTATTCCCTTTTAAATTACGACCCTGGAAATTGGTTGACTGAGTTGAATGAAAACACAATAGCAACTTTCACGTCTCCCTATGTATCGTAGAGTTTTTCGAGAGTTTGTTTCCTCCTAGCTTCAAGGAAGGACATGCTCAGAGATTGCAGTAGCAACTCGTACTCACAACGAACACCCAACTTATATACTGTGTATCTGAGGAAGTTGTATTGGATATTTTTGATGCTCTTAATATAAGTTACACAATGAGGGACCAGATAGAAGAACAATACTCCAGGTGTGGACGGACTAGTGAACTATAAAGGGCTTTGATAGCAGTTGGCTCAGTGAATTCGTGGGTAAGCCATTTGATAAACCCTAGCATTTTCATGGTTTTATGGATAGCCGTGGGTATATGTAGATTAAAGTTCAAGATGGGATCAAAAACAACCTCAAGGTCTTTCATTTGATCAACAGACTGCAAGACATGACCATTTAAGGTGTAATCAAAAGTGGTTGAAGGTATATGGGATCGATAAAAGTGCATGACATGGCACTTTGTGGCATTCAAGTCCATGCCATTTCAGTAGCACCAAGTTGATAGTTTGTCAAGGTCAGACTGAAGCCTATGGGCATCCAATGAGGTTTTAATAATTAGGAAAAGTTTTAAATCATCTGCAAATAATAGTGCTTTGGCATGCCGGAAGCAATGAAATAAATGAATTGAATAATAAGGGACCGAGGTGTGACCCCAGAGGAACACCAGAGGTTACTTCGAATAACGTGGAGTAGTGATAATCTGCTCTAGCCATTCGAGTCCTATTCGTAAGAGAACTACTAATCCATTCCTGTAGTACCCCACCTACACCATATCTGTTGAGCTTTTGGAGTAAGAGATTATGGTTGAGCCTGTCAAACGCCTTAGAGATGTCAGTGTACACAGAATCAATCTGGCAGCTCTTCTCCAAAGAATCCGACAGGATTTGGAGAAGGGCTGGCAATCATAGGTAAGGTAATCTGCCAGAATGTTCTCGAATATCTTGGGAATTGTACTGAGAATAGATTTGTATATTGGGGACATAAGAATGTTTTCAATAATCTGGAAACACGCCTGACTGGATAGATTTATTGAAAATATAGAAGATAGGGCGAGACAAAACGAAGCTGTAAGGACCTGGACCTTTCTTTATATCAAGATTGGATAATAAATAGTACAGGGCCCAAAACAGTTTCTTGGGGTACTCTGAGTAGAGTATTGCAAGGGGTCGACAAACTAATATTTATTCTAGTGAGTTGCTTACAATTAGAAAGATAATATCTGAACCACTGGAGAAATGTAAATTTAATGCCAATTTGCTCTAGGTTTTTCAATAAAATTTGTCAATCGATTGTTTCAAAAGCTCGCTTCAAATCTAAAAAGACTGCTACAGTATAGCCACCTCCATCAATGGACTGTTTGCATTTCGTGTGTTATATTTATGAATTTCGTATGTTGGTTTATATTGTAGTATGTTTTATTTCACAATAAAATGTCAACTGTTTTTTTAATTTCGGATATAACAATCATAATGAAGATTTTTTTGTTCCTATGAATAACCACAATTAATGAGAATTGAATAAATTGTTTTGCAATTCAATTGATCGTAGTAGATTCCATCATTCACGCTCGTTACAATCGTTCTTATCATTCATCATTATCTATCTACCCTGTACCCATCTCTTATGCACAAGCATGAGCGTAATGGCTGTTCGGGTAGTTAGTAGAGTATGTATGCACTGTACAGCCCCAGGTAGATACCGCCCTGTCCTCTCCTCTGGCTGCACTGGCGCAGGTGTCTCAACAGTTTGACCCGAGGGATGCGGCAGCTCTGGGCCTTCAGGGATGGGACCTTCAACAGCTGGCCCTTTATCTACTGGTAAGTCATTGTACCCGTAGGTATTTGAGGTAAGATTTTACAATATAACTGTGAATGAATGCTTTCTGTCGATATTTCTATAAAATTTATATTTTTCGAGTGGTGATAGTCGTAAAGAGTTTTTCACATGTATAAAGTACTTGGAGGTAATGGAAACGTCAACTGCTTGAAACTATGGAAAAAGAAATTTTCATTATTTGGTGTGCCAAAATGAAAAACAAAGTCAATATGTGTGTAGTCTCCCTCCCCGTTCCCGTCTTAGCTTTCGAACGAGGCACGATATATCTCGCCGCTATCAACTTTTTTTTTATAAAAAGTGGGGTCTTATAATCTATCGCTCGAGAGGTTTAGGTGGGCTAAAAAGTTCGTTGGCTAACGCACAGATGGCGTTACTAGTACTGAATCCATATGATTTTTAGTTAATCCTAACCTTCACAAGCGACATGTACAAATTTCTCAGCTGTCGGATTACTAGTTTCTGAGCTAAAACATTTTGAGTGAAACAACTTCAGTCAGTTTGAAGAAAATGGCGAATAAATACTATTGAAGCCAAGGCTTGGCTTAATAAACATAATTCGGACTTTGAATCAAGAAAATCAATCGTTGAGAAGTGATTGGCCTAAGATGAAAAACAGAGGTTTTAGGGTAATGTTAAACACCATTTTGTAATATTAGGAAAACTTTTGTTCATATTATTGAAACAAACATTTCAATTTTAATTTTAAAACTAATCTGATGTTAAGAATGAATTTGATGATTTTTAAGAAATTTGTTTATATCAGGCTCGAATTTACTCAAAAACAGCCGTAAGTCACCGCGTTTGGTAATCTGCAACCGATATCTCTTTTTAGTTAGCAACGTTGCCACAGCACTAAATCGACGTTCACACAAATACGATGATGGGAATGCTATCAAAAATCGTGGAACGATGTACCCACAATCCAGGGTACAATTGCGGGATTGCCTTTTGTAGCCAAGTTTGTTTTTATTTCCTCGTTCGTTATCACTTCTATGAGTTCTTCTTCCAGCTGTGTTAACATTTGAAAAAGGATCCATCACCCAGTCCGGTATTTCCTATTTTAAAATGTCCTGGAATCGTTCTGCGAAATCACTGTGGAGGTTCTCCAAATGTTGGCAGTAAACAAGCAAGTCGTTGTTATTGTAGGATACTGCTGAAAAATTAGGGAAATTGCGAAACTCACGTCTGCCAATTTTATTCTTGTATAAGAGAGCAATTTGGCTACAAAAGCAGCAATGACATTTTTGTTTTAATCAAATTCAAGTCGTCACCTTGAAGTTGGAGATGGACATCATTGAATAATTTATACAGGTCTGTCAAGTACGCAATATCATTCTTTGAAGTGATGAGGTTGTCGTGCAACTCTTTGTCTTTGTTTTCCAAGAACTTACAGAGTCAAATAGATTGTAAAATCGAGTCAGACAGTTACCTCTTGATAACCAAAGCACTTCTGTATTGAATAGCAATTGGTTGAAATCTTCATCATTAGCAACACAAAGCTGATCAAATAATCTGTCATTAAATAATCTGTCATTTAAAGAGCTGTTTCGGATTTTATTGACTGCTTTGATGATATATTGCAGTGATTGAGAAGAGGCGCTCACTCAAATTTTTCGCAACCAAATGTTGCCTATGAATGACGCAATGTACAGCGAGCAGATATGGAATTTTATTTTTCAAGTAAGCTATGAAGCCTTTGTGACGTCCTGTCATAGCCGGAGCGTCATCCGTAGCAGCTGATATAATATTCTTCAGTGGAATTTCTTTCTATCACAAAGTTTTTCCAGTGTATTATATATGGTTTCTCCTTTTGTATCCGTGTCTAAATTTCTGGCAAATAGTTGTTCTTGATATATTTTCTCATTTTTAATAAACCTCACGTATGACAACAACAGTGCTTCATTGGTTGGTAAAATGGACTCATCTAACTGAATTGAGAATTTAGAAGTCTTCAGATGATTGCACAATGATTCTTCTCAGCCATCTCATCAATTCGTCTTTGCACGGAACTATTGCTCAAAGGAATTTTTCGGATAATATATGTCGCTAATTTATGAAGGCCAGTGGTTATTACTTCTTTTATTGCCGGTAAAATTAAATCCTCTCCAATAGTGTGAGGTTTGCCTGTTTGAGCAATTAGCAAGGAGAAATTGTAAGAAGCTCGGGATCCGTCGTCGTCTTGCTTAGAAGCTGCTGAAAAATGTTTTGACACAGTTAGCTAAGCTGAGTATTTCTTTTCCAGTTCTTGAAAATGAGTCACACTTTTGTCTTTTTTATCTGAATGTATTTTATTCAAGTGATCTTGTAGCCTTGAGGGTTTCATCGCTTCATTCTAAAATGTTTTTTGACAAAGAAGGCACACAGGCGAAGATGGATTTGTGGGATTTTCGCGCTATATGACCGTTTCTTCTTTTTTGCTTCCGACATAATTTTGTCTTCAAAAATACCGAAGTAAAGAATCGAGAATTAAAATCTTGCTAATGATACCACCCACGGTATTCACCACCGCACATACAACACTTTACCTAGCTAGTCGCTAACTAAATTCACTTGTTTTCGTAATATAGTTGACTAATATCACTGGCTGGATGGCGCGCGCGCTTTTATTTGAGGCAGCGGGGCGGGCCTAGTACTTTCGAGAATGGAGACTAGAAATGTCTCGCTTCGCATTTAAGCTTACCGCCATCTATTGTACAGTTTGACAACTATCGGACAGGAAATAGTTACTGCCTAGTCCCCTAGATGGTGTTACACGAGGAAACACGCGTTAAGCGTAAAGGAGCGTGTTTTTAAAGGCAAAAAAACATTTTCAAATTAGCCATCGCCCCCCTAATCCGCTTCAACGCCCCCCAATCTTCTTTGTGCCCTTTACTGCCCCCCCCTATAGACCTTCAGCGCCCAAAAGAGGGCGTTATCGCCCACTTTTAGAAAGACTGCTCCAAAGATATCAAAGGAATATGTTGGACATATTGTGCACGAATATTTGGGTATGCGAAAGCTCTATTCAAAGTGGATGCCGCGCGAGCTCACAATCAACCAAAAATAACAACGAATTAATGATTCTGAGCATTGTTTGAAGTTGTTCCACCACGAAAAAACTAAAATTTATGCATCGATATGTAATAATGGATGAAACTGGACTGTAAGTGGTGAGACTCCAAAGCAAAGACGCAACAGTCAGCTGGCAAGGTTATGGTAATCTTGAAAAGTAAAAATCTATCAACAGTGACGTAGCGTATTCTCGAGATCTGGCCCCCAGCGACTTATTCCTGTTCTCAGACCTCAAAAGAATACTCGCTGGAAAGAAATTTGAGAACGGTACTTACACATTCTCAATAGCTGATGATATATTACGGGCAAGAGAGAGTAATATGCGCTATGGTGTTTGTATCTGGGGATGATGAACCACGTCTCAGGAAGTTTTCATAGCACGAAAAAATTTATCAGGTGCATCATTAATGTGCCTAGTACCGGGAGCTGTAAAAGTTTTTTCAGCTAATATGAAATCTTAACGTTTCCATTGTTATATATTTTTGAATTTTGTCTTTATATTTTCAAGAATAGAGATATAATGATATTTATGAAATTGATTCAACAAACGTTGTGAAATATTATTATTTGCCTGAAAACTACATACAATAGTTTATTACTACATCAAAATATTTCCAACTCATCTGCAACTAAATTTTTGTTTAAAAAAATCCATCAGGTTATGAATCTATTGAAACGAGAAAAAAAAGTGTAATAAGAACAAAGAGAAATGCTTTTATTCCACTACTGAAATATCAACGTCCGTACACTGAAAATCTAAATCTGTTTCACAAAGTTGGACCGACAGTAGAGAGTTAGAATTTTTGAGGAAAAGTATAAAATTGTAAACTGGGTTACTTTTTTTTTGTCATTGTGTGGAACTTATGAAAAACCTGATTTTTTGAGGGTTTTTGAACGTAGTAGGAGATTACAGCCGGTTCTCGCCCCCGCCACCACTATGACGTAATTAATATCATTTTGATGATAGTTTGACCTTCAAAAATGTGTCTGGTGCATGTGTGAATAACTTCATAGAAACATTCCCCCCACTATTTTTGACCTTGACTGACGTAACACGTTCTTGAGTTAGGTGCAAGGCCGTTCAACCTTAAACATGGCGTGTTGACCTTGAAATTCGAGTCTGTCTTTGATATGTGACATTGAGGTTTGACCTTGAAGGACGTCTTTGAGCTATGTTCATGCAATATGATTGTTCAACGTGGAGTTTGATCTTGAACGTGGAATTTGACCTTGATATTGGGGGGGTGGATTGAATACACGGTAAAGGAAGGGTTTGACATTGTTCTTCATGTATACTCTATGCAAGTTTGTGCAGAGTACACATATAAAAATTTTTACAGAGTATACACACATCAGCATACCGCAAAGGTCCATCAACTAATTAGTAATTAGCGGTTCTTCCTGTAAGCTCAACAAGTTGGTGAGTTGCAAGGAGAGATCTCGGCAGTAGCAAATAAATCTCCGATTAATATATGCTCGTCTCTATGCCTAATTTCTCCTCCAATGCTGCGGTAGTGTGTCGGGAGCGACATCATACGCTACCTCTCGAGGTAGAGACTGCACACTCTTGCCCTCCGTGGAGTTCCGACGACCACTGTCTGCTCGTATCGCCTTCTGTTTCTGCATCGAGTTGGGACGTCAGATGGCTCTAATGAGACGCTGTATGCCATTTATGAAAGATTTAGAGTCAAAAAAGTCATCTATTTTCTCAAGCACAGATTTTCCCCGGAATCAAATTTTGAATAACTTTATGTGTGACACAGTATATGTTATTTATATTTTAAAATAGTTTTTACTTTTTTGCATTGGTTATAATTGTCAATGTATTTCCTACTATAAATCGTCAAGTCAAATTTATTCTCGCACTCTGCATTTTCCTTTTGGCTTATCATACTAACCTATTCTCTGCCTTTACTAACCTTCACTAAATCTGAGAAATTGATACTCATCTTTTCAGAAGATGGAACGCCAAGGTAAACAAGCAATGGAACAAAGCATCCGCGATGGCCAAAGGGAACGCGAGAGACTCTGCATTGGAAAACGTTGGACCAAGAGAGAAGAAGCTGATTTCTTCCGCGTAGTATCCTCATACGGTATCATCTACTATCGAAAAAAGAAATCATATGATTGGATGAAGTTCAAGCAAATCGCTAAATTGGAAAAGAAGTCTGACGAAGAACTAACGGAGTATTATAAACATTTTGTGATGATGTGTAAAAAACAAACCGGTTTGAACATTGACGAAGGCAATTACGATACGAGTATAGAACACATATCTGAAGAGAAAGCTAGACGAACCCTTGAGAGGTTAGAGTTGCTTTCGCGGATAAGAGAGGAAATTTTGACACATCCCAAATTAGACGAGAGATTGAGGGTGTGTGTAACTTCAGCTGATATGCCTGACTGGTGGATAGCGGGAAAACACGATAAAGATTTATTGTTAGGAGTTGCAAAGTAAGTAAAATTGATTTTGACATTGCTCATAGAAGTTTTACCAACTTTTGTCCTGAATGATTGGGAAATTATTGATGTATTCATTCATTATAAATTGCTAAGGATTCAATGCTAATCTGGATATTACAAATTTCTTCTGGTTTCTAAGGTCATGCATATTGAAAAAATACATATATAATCCCAGGAAAGTATCCAAAAGAAACACTGCTGCCACATATCAGAAATGCAATGGACATGCGTTTACTAAATCATCTCTTGTAACTTTGCCTATACTCTTACACTTAACTCTTAATATAGTGAACATGCACATTTAATCATGCAACAATATTTTTTTCTTATTGTAATTGCTATAACTGCTAATTGGTTGGTGAAACGAGAGTCAAGAAGAGTGCCAGTTCTGGTATGTGGGAGAAGTTTCAGTCAATTCGATGACATAAAAACCAAATAGTTAGCGAACGTCGGCAGTTTCTTTGTATGGTACAGGCGGCGTGGTATAATTTTTTCAAAATTAATTTCTTTTTTCATAAACCCACTAAAAATGTTACGTTTCATTCATTCTGCAGAGGAATTCTCTCTTCCTTGAAAATCATATATTATTCAATTGTTAGATCAGTAACCGAATACAACTCCACAAATTGGTGCCCCTCAAATAATGCGGATATTGATGTGGTTGAAAGTGTTCAAAACTTGTTTTTAAGATACTCTGCATACAAACTGTAATATTATATTGGTGAATATATCTATAAAATCATGATGGACGTTCTTTACTTGAATACTCTCGACTCATAGATTAGAATCAGATATTACACTAATTAAGAAAATTATCAATGGAAACATTAATTTCCGGGAACTTGTTGAACTTATAACTTTAAATGTGAATCCAAAGAGAACAAGAAATTCAGAAATCTTCAAAGTACACTTTCATCATACTGTGGCCATTCTTATGTTCACGGAATAAGCTTTGAAGATTGTGATAGAAATTATGCGGACTGTAATAGCTTGCTACATAAAAAGGCTTAGATTCACGAAATAAGCTTTGAAGATTCTGATAAAAAGTATGATGGTCAAACTAAGCGGACTGTAATAGCTTGGCATCATAAAAAGTCTTAGATTCATGAAATACTCTGTGGAGATTGTGATAAAAAGTGTCATGTCAAACTAAGCGGACTGTAATAGGTCTCTAAAAGGAACATGTTTCGCATATTCGATTTCATACCGACCAGAGAAGTCTAGTGTTGCTCAACATGGTGACAAACGTCCCATTCCTAATTGCCCTTTGTTAACACTCCTATGTAATGTAATTACAGGTAGAAATAGGTAAAGATTAGGTATCAGTCAGATAGCAAATAACATTAGGAACAATGACCCTTATGTAAGATAATGATTCCTCTAGAAACATCCATATAGCTGTAAGAATTATTCTTAGTCATACCCTGATTATGCTAATTGGTTAGCAAAACGCGCATTGAGAGACATTAATTTTGTTCTGGTGTGGTGTGGGAAACGTGTTTTTAATAGATTCATTTAACTCCAGAGGTTCCAAATTCTACTTATGAACGTTTTATTACCTATTTTCAATATAAGTTACACATGATTAGAAGATTTATTTGTAATACTTCGTTTTGAATTTGGATGATTATTTATTAACATTCCTTCAATTTCTCCTTTCAAGGCATGGTCTGGGACGGACTGACTATTTCCTCCTCAATGATCCAGAATTGTGTTTCCACGAAATTCTCAGGAAGAAGGTCCGTTCCGAAACACAGGACAATAAAGATGCCATCAAATTGGATAGTCATGAGGATATACTAAAGTTTGATAAAGATGAAATTCTTGTCAAACTTGAAAAGGGTGAGGGCACTCTCAAGATTGAAAAAGTTGCGGTGAAAAAAGAAAATCTCGATGAAAAGAAATCTGAGGAAGGAGACAGAGTCAACCTCACAGTAGTGAAGAGTGAAAAATGTGATAAGGAGGTCAAGGACGAAATGAAGGAAGAAGAGAGTGAAGAAAATGCAGTTGAAAAAGATGGCGAAAAGGGTTTGCTTACAGAAAATGAGCCATCTAATGTCGAAAAGGAGACTGACAATCAGGAGCCCCACGAGAAAGAACCTGAAACTGAAGATCTGTCAAAACCTAAAGAAGAAAAGAAAGACCTACTCAAACAATTAATTGAATCCGATTCTGATTTATGCTCGAAACAAGCAGCTGAACTGAAAGCTATGTTTCCAGATTTGGAGGTCATTCAACCGCTGTCCCGGCTTTCACAAGTTGACACGTTTGTTTTAAGAGACAAGCAGGGCAGTGGCGCTCTGGATTTCAGTGAAACAACGGTTGCTCAACTTTTCAATAATGCTGTCAAGTGGCCGAAAGAGTATGCCATTCAAGTGAGGTTGCAGCATATCATTTTTGCAATTGAAACCAAAGAGTGGCCTGCTACAAAATCATTCTCTGCCTACGCGACTGGTATTGGTAACGAGTTCGACATTCCAATTCATGAGTTACCAAACGAGCCTCCGAAGCGGGAAACTTCCACTCCCATGTCCATGGGAGAACCGGACGCAATGTCATTAAATGCAGAAAGGTATGTACAAATTTTGAAACGTGGAATAGAATAAGTATCATTCGCCGGAATCAAGGTAATACAGAGAACTGTAATGATCATATTTATCCGTGATGAAAATCATACAATTTTTACACAACAAATTTTATTCAAGGCACGATAGTTTCATCAGTTTGACTGGCACATCAAACTACTCCACAATGTCTTTTATATTAATTCATTTATTTATGGGTTCAAGACCCATTTCACTCAATACAATTAAAAATGGCTGCACACAATACTCAATACAAAAGTACAGATAGAATCAAAAAGTCATATATATGACAAAAGCTTTTGATTGTGTGTCTCACGATATCTTACTGAAAAAACTCGAAGCTTATAAGTTTGAGAATAACAGTCTAACACTAATAAAGTCTTACCTTTCAGACTACAACCAATAATCAGATACATGTACATACGAAAATATGTCACTACAGTAAATGTTCTATTTGAAAGATGTTCGCAGAAACTACATACTCCACCTTGCCCCCCATGCCGCCTCCCGGGTTGAGTGCTCTGAGATAAAATCTTCCCCACACGGTTACTGTGTGTAGAACATCCCATTTCGTACATCCACCCCCACTCTTCTTAGTGGACCTCAATTTGCTGTTGGGAACTTCAAGATTGACATCTGACCTACTGCGGTTGAGAGCCAGCCTTTAGGTGTTTCTACTTTCTTATCTAATATTTTATTGAACTGTGACTTTACTTGCAATGGGGCCCCCAAAAACTAACCGTAGACGAGGGTCCTTAAATCGCAAACAAGTGTTTCTCAGTGAATCTGCAAAAGAAGTGAGTTTGAAATCTGGTTAGCCGCCTGATAGCGACTCTCGGGGGTGGTCTCTGGTTCTGCTTCGTTGGCCTTCATTGTTTATCTCTTTCTTAGAATCTGGGGTCATCTCTATTTAATGCTATAAAGTGGATGTTCAGTTATAGATCCCGGAATATATATCTGTTCGGTATATATCTCGGAGCGTTAACGGCGGCTCGCACGCACGCGTTCATAAACGTCTGGATATTTCGTCTGTGTGTTGCTGGCATACAGGATTATTGATAGTAATACAGTCTTTATTATCAGCAACTTGCTTTTGCGACCTATAATTGAATATAGGTTTTGTATGGCGGCTCTCGCCAGCCCTATTCTCTGCCATATGGTGTCCTGAACGTTAGTCTTCTGTCGAGGGTGACTCCCAAGTATTTTGCTTCGTTGATCCACGGAATCTCTTGTCCATTGAAGGTGACGTTTCCTCCGGGGTGTACCAGACTCCAGAACAGTATCGCCTGACTTCTGTCAGGGTTTATACTGATTTTCTAAAGGTTGGCCCATTTCTCTAGTCCAGGGGTCTCCAAACTACGGCTCGCGGGAGTTATGTGAAGAGATTTTGCAGACTATCCAAGGAAATGCAGTGCTTGCAGATTCCCACCCCGGATCCAGAAACGATTATCATCGTAACTTTTTATTCATTCATTTTGCAGATCTCGATGTGAGAAGTTCTCTAGAAATTTTCTTCACAAGCGACATGTACAAATTTCTCAGCTGTCGGATTACTAGTTTCTGAGCTAAAACATTTTGAGTGAAACAACTTTAGTCAGTTTGAAGAAAATGACGAATAAATACTATTGAAGCCAAGTCTTGGCTTAATAAACATAATTCGGACTTTGCATCAAGAAAATCAACCGTTGAGAAGTGATTGGCCTAAGATGATAAACAGAGGTTGCATCGAAAGATGCAACCAACTGATCTTCGGCCTTTTCCGTTTCAGTAAATGTTCACATTTATTCATTGTATCGTTCTGGGAATAAAGACCTATTATTATTATTATTTGTCGAGTTTAAACGAGGTGAAATGAGCACCGAGGATGATCCACGCGGTGGACGCTCCAAAGAGGTTGTTTCCTACGAAAAATATCAAAAAAAGTCATCAGAATAATTTTGGATGACTGCAAAGTGAAGTTGATTGAGATAGTTGAGGCTGTAAAGCAGAGGTTCACAAACTTATTCTGTCTACCGCCCACTTCGAGAATTAATTATTTTCTAGCGCCCCCCAATTTTTTTACTTTACTACATCTTAAGAATCACAATCGCAGTCATTTTCTTAATAACTGAATTATATTTGTCATGTGAAAATAAGACTTTCTGATGAAGGTAATGTAAAACACCATTTTGTAATATTAGGAAAACTTTTATTCATGTAAAACAAACATTTCAATTTAAATTTCAAAACTAATCTAATGTGAAGGATGAATTTGATGATTTTCAACGAGTTTGTTTAATATCAGGCTCGAATTTACTCAAAAACAGCCGTAAGTCACCGCGTTCGGTAACCTGCAACCGATTTCTCTCTTTAGTTAGCAACTAATTCCACGTTCACACAAATACGATGATGGGAATGCTATCAAAATTCGTTGAACGATGGACTATAATCCAGGGTACAACATCATTAAATAATTTATACAGGTCTGTCAAGTACGCAATATCATTCTTTGAAGTGATGAGGTTGTCGTGCAATTCTTTGTCTTTGTTTTCCAAGAACTCTATTACAGAGTCGAATAGATTGTAAAATCGAGTCAGACAGTTACCTCTTGAAAATCAACGCACTTCTGTGTGAAATAGCAACCGGTTGAAATCTTCATCATCAGCAACACAAAGCTGATTAAATAATCTGTCATTTAAAGAGATGTTTCGGATTTTATTGACTGATTTGATGATATATTGCAGTGATTGAGAGAAGCGCTCACTCAAATTTTTCGAAACGAAATGAATGACGCAATGTACAGCGAGCACATCTGGAATTTATTTTATTTTTTAAGTAGCCTTTGTGACGTCCTGTCATAGCCGGAACGCCATCCGTAGCAGCTGATATAATGTTTTTCAGTGGAATTTCTTTCTCATCACAAAATTTTTTCAGTGTATCATATATAGTTTCTCCTTTTGTATCGGTCTCTAAATTTCTGGTAAATAGCAGTTCTTGATATANAACCGCTTCAACGCTCCCCAATCTTCTCTGTGCCCTTTACTGCCCCCCTATAGACCTTCAGCGCCCAAAAGAGGGCGTTATCGCCCACTTTTAGAAAGACTGCTCCAAAGATATCAAAGGAATATGTTGGACATATTGTGCACGAATATTTGGGTATGCGAAAGCTCTATTCAAAGTGGGTGCCGCGCGAGCTCACAATCAACCAAAAATAACAACAAATTAATGATTCTGAGCATTGTTTGAAGCTGTTCCACCACGAAAAAACTAAAATTTATGCATCGATATGTAACAATGGATGAAACTGGACTGTACGTGGTGAGACTCCAAAGCAAAGACGCAACAGTCAGCTGGCAAGGTTATGGTAATCTTGAAAAGGAAAAATCTATCAACAGTGACTTTTACATAGCGAATTCTCGAGATATGGCCCCCAGCGACTTATTCCTGTTTTCAGACCTCAAAAGAATACTCGCTGGAAAGAAATTTGAGAACGGTACTTATACATTCTCAATTGCTGATGGTATATTACGGGCAAGTAGAGAGTCGTATGCGCTATGCGCATAGCACAAAAAAAATTATCAGGTGCATCATTAATGTGCCTAGTACCGAGAGCTGTAAAAGTTTTTTCAGCTAATATGAAATCTTAACGTTTCCATTGTTATATATTTTTGAATTTTGTCTTTATATTTTCAAGAATAGAGATA